ACTTATGCATTTTTATTGCTTCCGTTGAACTTGAATAAGTTTGTTGCACGTTACGTTTTGTGCAAACTATTTTCAAACGTGGTGTGTTGGTTTTCGAATCTTATGAACCTTGGTTGTTATGGAATTTATGGTTGGATATTTAGTTCATGAGTTGGTGTTGGTTAATGAAAACCGATTATGAAAACTGGGTAATGAATCCCCGTAGGCCCAGATAAGACTTGGGTTATGAAAATGTTGTTTAACACCCACTAAATTTTCGAAAATGAGTTTGAAAATTTTATACTGATTTTTGAAAAATCCAGAATTTCGGTAAAATCAAAGTGGGGTGTTACAATTACTATCCTTAATTTTATAGTATATTACAAATAATAAGTAATTACAATAATAAATGAATAGTATTTTAATTTTTTAGTATTAGTTTTTCTTTTCTTTTTTTCTTTTCAATTTTGGCTTTTGGTGTTAATTGTATTGAATTATTAATCAATCTTTGGGCTTGGGCAGTTGGGCTGCTAGATGTTGGACTTGGACCAGCTTACACACACATACATGCCTACAGAGACAGGAAAGACGATCACCAGAAATGTAGAACAATAATAAATTGTTGGGCCGTTCTATGCGGTCTCAGTTTTACTGACTTCGAACTGTTGGATCCTTAATCCAACATTGGGCTAATATGTGAAATAATTATAGTATTATGGTTGTCAAATAAAGAAGCCCAAATAAAAGTGATCAATTAAGGTTTAAAGTTATTGGGCTTTAAAGTATCAATAGGGTGTGGGCCTTTAATGTGTAGAAACTAATGGGTCTTCTATTTTAATGATGGGCTAAACTAGAGGTGCCCAATGTAACTTAATGTACATAAGGGTTATGGTCCCTAGGTCATACGATATCGACAGATTATCTCTTCTGCATCCCATCGACAGAGAGGTTACGGAGAAAAGCTGAAGGGTTCTTTGAAAAGGTACACGATCGTATAGACCTAGAAGGCCAAATCCCCAAATCAATCATTTATGGATTCAGGTACGCTTCCGCTATTCAGTTTTGATTCTCAATTATTCGATATGAAAGCTCCTGGATTAAAGCGATGTATTTCGCCTAAAGTTAATTCCAACAAGTGGTATCAGAGCCTCTTCATGTTGAATTTTGGAGAATCAATTTAGATATGATCGTATTTATGCGATGAATCTGTTCAGTAGCTCTGGGATCAATATTACATGTGATTGAATTTTGATATGAATATTCAGAATCAAAATTGGTCGATCTTATTAATTCGGTTTTCGTGTCTGTACGAATTTGTGAACCTTCAATGCATATTGGATTCAGTTTCTTTTAAAGGCGTATGTTTATTTGTAATTTGTGGACCCAATTCTATTAAACTCTTCTACCACGTTTTGGATGATAATTGATATGAGTAACTATGGGCCCCAGTTTATGTCATGAAAATGGATTCAATTGATATGTTCATCCAGATTGTTTTATTTAATGGAATTGTGCAACTTGACTATTTATGAACATGAACTTCATTTATTCGAATCCTTCAGGCAAAGAGTAAATTATTTACATGACATGCTCTAGTGTTATGTGAATTAAAGGTTAAACCTTTAAAGTCTATTTTTGGTTTTAGAATTTTAAATTTTGGATTCGAATATTGGTATAAGGTTTTATATATTTTGAGATAGATTAATTGAAGCAACATGTCGCCAAAGCGACCTCTTTTGTGGAAGTTAATTTGTTTGAAATATAAAAGGATAAGGGTGCATGTAATTTGAGTGAGTATTAACCGGCCCAAAGGAAGGGGAGTACTCATTAGAATTACTTGTGCATTGCAGTAATAAACGTGTGATGA